CCCCCCCCCCCCCCCCCACAGCATGGATGGCTTCAGAGTGCTCACTCTGGGTGAAGTGGTCAGACAGGTGGACATTGTCATCACCTGCACAGGTACTGGGATTGCTGTTCACCGGTCAAAACACGATGACTGTTTCTAATATCAAATACTAATGATTACCTGGACCTGTTCTGTGTAATCTGTGTTTCTCTGTAGGCAACAGGAACGTGGTGGAGAGGGAACATTTCGACCGGATGAAAAGCGGCTGCATGATCTGCAACATGGGGCACACCAACACTGAGATCGACTTGGTAAAGACTCTGCGCTCGCGGGCAGTTTTTTGCCCTGCTTCTGCTTAAACCACGTGGCATTCTCTTAATTCTCAGGCTAGTCTGCGGACGGCGGAGCTGGAGTGGCAGCACTTAAGACCTCATGTGGACCAGGTTGTCTGGCCGGATGGAAAGAGAGTCATCCTGCTGGCTGAGGTGATGACGGGTTTTGATCACGCGCACAGACGAACCCTAACCCTCATTCAGATGATAAACGAGCTTTAAATGAAGATGGATGTGGTTATCTGTGAAGAATGACTCATTTTAAATCTGATACAGTTCTGAACTTGGTTGGACTAATTCCAAGAATACAAATTCTTTCAGTTCTATTTTGCGGTTATGGTCTCATTTTTAATCCATCTTACATTCCTCGTGGTTTTGATTTTTCTCTCCTTTCTTCCAGGGTCGTTTGTTAAATCTCAGCTGCTCCACTGTGCCCTCTTTTGTCCTCTCCATTACAGCCACAACTCAGGTTTAAAACTCTTTTAACCTATTCATAAATGACTGAACCTTTGGGTCATCTTTTAAACATACATCAGACAAAAGTTAGCTCTGTCGTCGGACAGTTCAGGTTCATTCTCTCTGATGCGTTTCAGGCCTTGGCTCTTATAGAGCTGTACAACGCTCCACAAGGGAGATACAAAAAGGACGTCTACTTGCTGCCAAAGAAGATGGGTGAGTTGCTCTGCTCCAAGTTCCTGAATATACAGTATATTTTCTACATTTGAAAATATTCAAAAGCCGATTATCTTATGTGTGTTTGGTCTTAAGATGAGTATGTTGCCAATCTTCACCTACCAATATTTGAGGCTCACCTCACAGAGCTGACGGACGATCAGGCCAAATACCTGGGCGTCAGTAAATACGGCCCCTTCAAACCCAATTGTTACAGGTGAGATGGGATTTTCAATTCTAATTTCAAAATTTGAAAAGAAAATCACAGAATTTGAATTGAGCTAACACAAATGTCCTCAAATAGGTACTGATCTTTTTCCTCGAGCTAATCTGGAGTCCCATCAGTCCTGCAGACAGACCTCTGCTGCCCTCTGTGGTCTGAGGCTCACCAGCTGTTGTGGAATGAGGACGCAGGTTTTTCTTGGGTGCTTTGGCTCTTGTAAATGTGCTCGCATCTGTTTTATATGTTAACACTGATACAGGTCAGAAACTTCCACAGAATCCAGAATGTGATTTCAACTCCAGTCTGGAATGAATCCTAAAGGGTTCAAGGAAGAGAAACAGGGGAAACTGCACACACTACACACTAGGGGGCGTTAGATGGCTGTTGTTTCCGGGAGATTTTTGCTGGTAATACACTAGTTATTTTCTCTGTCCACTTAAAATGAATATAGACCTCTAGAGCCCACAAAATAGCTACTGAAAGTCCACTGAAAACATCCAATTATGATTTAGGGAAAATCACTGAACATGTATGTGTGTATTAATAATATTTACTCTGAGGGAAAGCATAGTTTTATTTTGATTAAACTAAATTAAGTCAACCAAATTTTGGGTATTTCAATGAAGTTACAACATTTTTAAGGTTAGGATTCTGTGTGTTGTTTTTCCGTATTTTTTTCCAGTTATTGTTCATTGATTTGTTTAAATTACAAATAAAATCAACTGCTATGTTACTCACTGATTCATGATTTTGCAGCATGGATGCAGATATTAAATTGCATATTGGGACCTGCATCCTTTAAAAGTTACATCACATGTATGATAAGAAAGACTCATGTAACTTTATTGGTTTATATAGAGTTCAGTTTTCTTTAAATTAAGCAAATAAATTACAAATAAAGGACACCTTAAAAGGTGTAAGAAATATTAGGCGTGAGAGTAAAGCTGACGAGGCAAAACATGCACAACATGGCAAAGAATCGATTTTACGAAGATGGAAGAAGTCATGGTAAGAAAAATGCAGCCAAAAATTGATCAAAAAGAACAAAAACCCTGAACAAAGATTATGTGAGTCGACAGAGACAGTTCTTTGCATCAAGTACTGAAGAGAAATGTTTGAGGTAGCTGTACACAAATCTTCACTGATGGTCATGTGCACATTGTCTTTGTTTCCAGCTGCATTTTTCTCTTCCTGTGACGGTCAAAACTTGCTGTATGAACTTGGTTATAGGTGCATTCAAATATGAGCAATTTAGATAGTTTGAATATACTTAATTTGTACAAAAAAAGAAGATACATTTAGTTGAAAAAAAGGAACAAACTCGTATATATCAGAAGCTTTGGGAAAGCTTTTAGAAACAGGAAATCTTCTTTTTAACCAGCCCAGCAGAAGATGTGGAAAAGTGGCTTCCTCCTACACAAATTAGCGCATTAGTGAGTAGGCCTCCTTCTAGTTTCATAACAGTGACTGGATGATACTGACGATGTTGAACATTTTCCAAAAATTCTGAGATGCACATCCTCCTGATTTTTAACATTTATCAAACTACTTGTCTTTATCGGAACCAGGGAAATTATTTGGATAATGTTTGTACTAAATATAGCAACTTCGGTAGAGTTAATCCCTTGAGGATTCAGAATGTTGTTGCTCTGCATTAGTCCTGCAAACAATCAGATTATCTGATTTGGTTTTCCCCTTTTCCCTTCACCTTCAACTTCACTGTTCAGGTAAAATTTCTTAAGCGGGGTCATTACGTCTACAGCTGTCACTGGGATTGATGCCAGCATAATCTGCTCCTTTTTCTAGTAAATCTGCTGTTTGGTTTTTCTCTTATCTAAGACAGACTGGTTTGCCAGTACTTCGTAAATGCATTATTTCTTCTTTGGAATATGACAAAATCTGCCATTTCTAAACGTTTTAACAGAATTTTTCTTTCGCGTCATTTGACTCTTGGCTGACTTCCTGTCACAGATTCACTCAAAGGCTGCTTGATAAAAACTTAAAGTAAATAAATCAACCCACAAGAGACCCGGGTGGATTTAGGCCTTATGTGCTAACCTACTGACCCAACGAATTGATTCTTTTGTATTAATTTGGGTTGATACTGCATGAGCCTTTTCACATTTTTTTTCATAAATAGTTGCGATATATAACTTTCATTATCTTATATTCCAAATGACTGAGACATTGTTTTTGTTTCCTGTTGGACGCTCCAAGAATACTACTGACCGCCCCTGGTCAAGAAGTCCTAAAAATACCCTCTTGGATTACTGTAATCCAGGGACTCAGTGTGTGTTTGTGTTGTGTGCTTGTGTTTGTCCGTGGCACAGCCCAACTGATGATTCCCATTCAGTGTTTACTGTGTCTCGGGCACTGCAGACTGAAGGTGAGTTAGAGCGCTACAGCAGAGAAAGAAAAGTGAGCTCCCGTCAGAGAAACCAGCTTCTCTTCCTCTTACAATGCAATCATTTATCAATCCATTTCCTTTACCAAATTCATCCAATTTAGGGTTGAGGACCAGCTGAAACCTATTTCCCCATTTGCTGTGTCTGTTTCCACAGGGTGACCATAACAGGGCTTTTTTAGATGCTGTGTTTTCATTTTTTATTCAACATTCAATATCCTGAAAGAATTGAGAGTCACAGCCCTGTTGAGGTTATCGTTATTTGCCTTTAATGCAACAGACACAAGATTATACAGCACAGAGGAACATCTTAGACAATAGCAGTTACACAATCGTTTGGGTTTGAGATTGATGAGGAGATGCATTCACTTCCACACCCAATCTAATCTAATGACACTGCTCAGTCTCTTGTTTAGCAGGATTTCATAGTCGGAGAGGGTGTTTATATGTCTCTCATCTTTTCTGCAATAATAAGATCCAAAATCAAGGAGCGGACAAAATTTGTCAGGTCCAGTGTGTTTTGTTTGGATCAAATGGTGGGCACCACATGTTTGAAAAGATTTTGAACTGGTGAAATAATGCTTAATGGGTAAGGATTGCGTGGGTATGTAATGGTGAATATAGAAATAAGGGTGTGTGAGAGGGAGAGAGAACTAGAAACGGTAGTGCTGATAATCCATTGGTTGGTGATGGATCTGATGAAGACAGATGGCCTGTGCCGTCTATATGCTTTTGGACTCGTAAGCTCAGTTTGTTGGCAGTTTTAGCAACGAGGAAGTATCAGGATTTGTTTTTGCGAGTGTGTGTGTGTGTGTGTGCGTCTTTGCCTCCTCCCAGTTAGGGATTCTTTCTAAAGAGCTTTGAAGCCTTCCCTGCATCACTACGGGGTCTAATCACTCGTACCAGCTGTCAGTTGTCTGCCTCCCTCCTCCTTCTCTCTGCTGGCACCACTTAACCTCACATCATCTGCAAGCGTCCATAATGGACTCTCACCACGTCTGCACTGAAACGCGATGAACACACATCAGCTGATGATCCCACTGCTTTCAGTGCTGCTGGCAACATGTTTTGTAGTTGGAGTGTTTTATGCCATCCAAGATTTCTGTTCATTTTTAAAAAGATCAAATCTCTGGTCATGAAAAATGTTGAGTTTTATGTAGATAGAAGACCTATTTACAGTGATACACATATATCAAAGCAAATCTTTTATTTTTGTCTAAAATTTGTGACAAATTGTCAGAAAATAGGCTCTTTTTTATTGCAATGCTGACCTTTTCTCCACCTCATTCTTAATTCTTCCTTCTGTCTTTAACTCCCACTGAAATCTTCATAATCACCTCATTGTTACCCAAAATTTGGCAGAAATGAGAAAATAATATGCATTTCACTTCATTAAATGCGTATACATTGTATTCAGGTCAACTCAGTGTCCCCATTCAGAAATGTTTTGAAAAACTTTCCTTGTAAATGTGTTTCTTAATATATATATTATATATCATGTAGATGAATGGGAATAAAACAATAGTCTACTAAAAAAAATAGTATCACAAGCATGCCACATTGTTTCATCATAACCCCCACAGGCAGCAGTTGCTCAACTTAGATATCTGAGTTGTAGTAATAAGCCTGTAGGTTCAATGATGAAAACACAGATGAAAAAAACAACCAAAGCTGAGCTCTTTTTAGCAAAGTGGCTGCTGCTCACACCAGCACGGGCATTTGGCCGTTCCTATTTCAACACATAAGCACCATTGATTTATGGATCGGAGAGGATCAAGTCGGTGCTTAATGGCCTTGATATGGATCTATGTTATGGTCCAGTAATCAACGTCTCATTTGGTTCATACCTCAAGAGTGACAGAGAAAACTGTGAGAACTTTGCAAAGGTAAAGAAGCTGGACGGGAGGAGTTTTTTCTTAACCTGCAACAGAACCACGGGGCTGGTGATGTACTTGTGCATCCATCTTTTCCTCTGGTCATTCCGCGGAGGAATCAGCCGACGTCTGAGGTGTTCTGAGACTGCAGGAACGCTCAGGGGGGAATTGATCGATTCTAACCCCTCTCTGCTCCGCCTGCAGTCACTCACACAAAACCACCACCATCTGCGTCACTTGCCTTCAAAACCTCCCGGTCACAACTTTCTCTAACACCCTGAGCTCTGTGAGTATTGTGTTGTGGCCAACACACAACGCTGAACGCAAAGCGTCCTCTTCTGATAATGACTCCTGTGTTGGTGGGGAGAGGGGGGAAGGGGTGGGGAGGGGGTCAGGGGGAGTTTGGGGTGATGGTGATGGGAAAAAGCTCTCAGTCAGTTGTTGGCAAGTCTAGAACCACCGGATCCTCTCAGCCCACCAGAGTGAGTTCTACCATTGCCAAACACTGTGGGAGAGTGCACGGGTCAGTGCCACTAGATCAGTGTGCCGACCGGAGTTCAGGTTACACAGAGCGGCATCTCGGATATGGAGCACGTGCCTCGGTGGTAACTGCTGACATCTGATAGGAGAGGCACAATCAATGAGATGCATAGTTCGTCATCTCCTTCTCTGTTCCGTTTGCTTCTTACAGCTGGCAGCGGTGGATAAACTCTCATTCCTCGGTTCCTTGAAACACAGCTGAGCGTCTCTCTCGTCCCATATTGGCACTACACATGATTGCTCAAACAACGATGAACAAAGCAAAAATGTGCTAGTGCCAAAATGTGCAAAGAGGATCAGATGTGTTGTAGAAACAGCTGAAAGTGGATCCGTCAGCTGGTTTCACGCCTCAGATCACACAGACAATGTGGTTCTGTCTCTACGCTGTTTATGGCCCTTTGGTAATTCACTGATAGTGTGCTGTGACAGTGAATTCTACCAGTGCCATACACAGAACAGGAGGAGATGTAAGTGCAGTCCAGCAAAACAGCAACAGAGCAAAACCTGAACACTGGCTTCCTCACGTGTGCAAACCACTGTTAACCTCTTCTAAATGTGTAAACTCTTTCCTTTAGTCCTAGAGGTCTTTGTAGTTTTATCCTGAGTGGAAATGATGACGTCACTCCCTCATCTTTTCCTCACTGGACAGGGAGTGAATCCACCAGAGAGGCCTGTCGCTCTGTTTCTCATGCCACTTCACCCACTTGCTTCCCGTCTCTGGAATTAGCTTCTAGACACAACTCCAGACATCAGTACTGAACTGTTACAGTGATTTAGAACATTTCGAAAGCTACCTTGAACGCTGTAAAGTAGCGGGTCTGCAGCTCAGATTGATTCTGGCTGTAAGGGAATGATGCGCTAAGTGATTTTTGAGATGCTCCAAATGGATCCCAAAGCAGGGCTCATCTTTCTGTTTCCGGGAGGGATCAATAGAGTAAAAAGCTTGTGTGTGAGAGATGGAGAGCATCAATCAAAAACTCCTCAAGGTGCTCTGTTGATGCTGGATGTTTTCGGTCTCTCCTGATATCTCGGCTCTTCGTATTACTTAAAATTGAATTGTTTATGAGGACATCTGCGCCACACATTTTAAATATATCTGATGCTGGCTGGAAACTGTAATAAAGAAAATAAAGAGTTTTCTGATCAAGCCGCAGTCAAAGTCGACTCTGCCTTGTGTGAGTATTGCTGTTATCATGTTTTTATGTTTTGTTTTGGAGATCTGTATCTAAGTAATTTAAAAAAAGGAAACAGTTAAGACATCATTTGCAGAGAGCCGGTATCGTTTTTTGAATAATGACTAGCCAAGCAACTAAAGAAAATAATTATCTTTCTTCAGTTACAGACGTTTATTTAAGTTGAGCAGGATGTTTCAAATGTCTCTTATAGATTTTCCTACCTTTGAAAGATAATCCATTATCTCCATGCGCACATAACAGACAGAAAGAAAAAAATAAGCTCCTTTTATGAGCCAAACCTTCTAAAGCCTTCCGCTGTAGAACAGATTAATAAATAAGAAGTTTTTCAATCTGGTTAAAGATGAAGAAACTGCCTGAGATGATCTTCGGTCCACACTGAAGCCATTTCCTCTCCATGCCTCCAGCTATACGTTTCTCGCAGCTCCCTGCTTGTTTGGTGTGTTTAGTAGAGGATTTTCTATTGGACAGGTAATTAGTTGTTAAGCATCTTAACCCACTGGCAGTATAGTAATCCTCGCCATCCCTCCTCCCTCTCCTTCTGCTTCCTTCATACGCGGGCCTGCTGCACATTTCCGGCGCGCTTTTACGCACAGGACGCGCGCAACAGTGGACCAGATTGGTCATTTACTGTTGTCCGAATTAGCTCATCTAAACAAATTCACCGTAGTGGACATACAAAAAACGAATTATTTGTTCACATGTATGAGCTGACAAAAGTTACCCGACTTATTTAATTCTCGGTGAAAGCTTTATTTTCCAGAGCAACTGAAATCTGGACTTACCAGCATCCACCGTGTGCGGCTCCCCGCTGCGCGCTCTCCTCACTGACCAGCTCTAAAAGTTTCTCGGCACGCAGGCCTCCTGTGCTGCCCGTTTTATACCAACATCCAAAGGTCTCGCATACCTGCTGTCGGTGATTATTAGACAGATTGCAGGTGGAAAAAGATGCATCATCCTTTCAGCTGATGTGAATCCACTGGAGTCGGGTAGGACAGGTTAGGGTTACGTCTCTTTCAGAGCCAAGGCTGAAATCCACCCGTGCTCCCTTTGTCCTCTCCATACATTATGAAGGAGGCGCAGCCGGCCAGCAGAGTCTCATCGCCATCCTCTTTTCCTGCTCCTCGGGTTACTCTGGAATAACTTCACTTTTATTTGATCTCCAACGCACACACACAAAAATCACAATTAATCTAATAAGTAATTAATGATCAGAATTAATAATCATTTCAAACCCATCTTCTCTCATGTTAAATTGATCTGATAAAACGTGCAGCTTTTGTTTTAGGCTACCAGGTCTAGTATGATTGAAGTAAGTGCAATGGCTAAAAACCGAATGAGCGTTACTCAGAGAAGTCATCCTGCCAAATTAAACTGATGCTGCAACTGGACACCACAATGTGCGCAGTAAGAGGCAGCGTGGCCACACAGCGATGAATATTTTATTAGATCATTATAGTCTTGGTCTGAATGTGCCGGAGCGCCATGACAGGATACACTCATCCTGTAATCTACACATGAAAACTGGAGAGGCCTCACAAAAATACAACATTTCTGACAGAAAGTTCCTCTTTCCCCAGCACAGATATTGGATAAGGTCGGAGTAACAATGGCTCTATCTTTTTGTCAGATAAAACTCCATTCTGATCTGACAGTCAGGAGCATCACTGACTATCAGATCTATGAGTGAGGCATCTTATAAACACAGCCCTTATGTGTTTTATTGGTGCCTTCTTAGATTTTCCTACATTAACCGACATACTTCTCAGTGAGGGGGGGCAGAGTTATCTATTTTAAGGCCACTTCAGTTATCTGAACGCTAACATCATCTGGAATCTTTCAAGACAAGTTTTTAAACGTAATAAGAACACTCTCAACCTTTCAAAGATATCTAAAACGATCCTGTGGGGACAGGTCGCTGCACCTCGAAAGATACCTCTGTGCTGCCATCTGGCGGCCATCAGGAGATTTTCCACAATTTTAACGTTTTAAAGAGTCAAAAGATATATTTACCCTCAATACAAAAAAACAAACAAAAAAACAGAGCCCTCACAACGGTTTATTTTTTTGTTTATTTCTTTCTTCAAGTTACAAGGGAAGCACATTTATTTATTTTTTGCCGTTAAAAAAAAACAGGGTTATCTTGATCTGAATCCCGAACAAAGGGGTTTAAAACATAGAAATAAAAACATTCAAACAAATTATAGGCATCAAATATAAGTGTTGCGTTAATAAAAAAAAAAAAACACAATAATGAATCCAGACGTGACGAACAACAGGGCTGGACAGTGTTCTGTTAAGCGTGTGAAAACTCACTGTGACATCATGTTGACCTCACACCGACACCAGCTGACTGTATTTGGTACAAAGGCTGATTGGGGCCATTTTTTTTTAGGCTGATCACGCATACTTTGTTTTAATAAACACGGCAAAATAAATATGACATGTTTGTTTTAACAATCTGTCATAAAGTCTTGGTGAAATACAGCCCCACATTTTCAGTCGAGGGATTTTCATTCAGTGTCTGATTCCCCTTCCCCTGTAGATGAGCAGGAGCGGCCCTTTTGATTGTAATAAGGTCCTGTTTTTTTGTTGTTGTTGTTTCTTTGAGAAATAACACATAATGATCTGCAATGATTCCATCATGCTCCAAACATGGTTGGGGTCTCCGGTCTGCGCGGGGGCACCGACCGGTGTCCCCTCGTTTAACAGCAAAGCATCACGGGCCCGTCAAAACCTCGACTAGCGGACATAAACCAGAACAAAAGCTTTATCGAGCGTCCTCTAAAGAACAAGAAACTCGTGTCTGAACTGTAGCTACAACGGCCTCCTCAGAGCCTTTTGGGAAAACCTCAAATTTCCTCCTAAACCTCGATGTGAGTTCTACCCTCGAAGCGAGGCCGAGTCCAAGGACGATTCTCTCTACCTGAACAGATCAGTCCCATTTTGGTCCCGCTGTTTTGGAAAATAGACTATCGAAAGCCTGAAAAGGTAAATGCGACCCCGCTGAATGGCCGAAAGCAGAGAGCGCCGGTGGGCTCCGGGGGACTGGTTTACCAGAGGAGGTGCAGGAGCGCAGCGTGTCTTTGGAGGACTGGATGAAGGAGCCACTGTCCTACGCAGGAAGATCCCTCATCTTTACAGGAAAAGGTTGTTTTTTAAACTTGTGTTTTATATAAGTATTAAACCATACATTATGATAGGATTCACCACCTGCAAAGAAACTATCTACCCCTACACAAGTCAGACACCTAGTATAGTTCAACACAAGCAAGAGGCAAAGTTAAGAAGGTCAACACCGATCCCCATCAAACCGAGCCGGGGGGGGGGGTCTCTGTGCCAACGCCGACGTGGCTCCACAAAGGCCTACACAAACTTCACTTCTGTGTCATGCCACGATACACAAAGATACTCAGAGAATGGCAAACTTTCCTAAAACGGAGAGGAGGAGGAGGCGGGTGCTAGAGAGCGTTAGAGGGATGAGGACCGGGAACCTCTCTCCTGCTTTCTGCTGAGCATCAGCACAGAGGCTACCGGTGGGTTACATTCATGCACACGCACAAACACAGACGCACACGCTGCAGCTTGAGCGCGAGTGGTGGTGGCCGACGGGGCGGGGCCGAGTGTCCGCGGGGTGGGGGGTGGGGGGGGTTCCCCGCTGGGAGGGCCGTCCGTGGCGTGCACCGGGCTCCTCGCTGCGTGACGGCAGCTCGTCGTGGTGGCAGTGTGGGCAACAAAAAAAAGAAAACTGAAGGGGTTTCCATCCCTCTTTTGAATGTGGGGATTGTCATCCACCGCCATTTAGCGGTGAGGGGAGAGCTCTGATTCCACAGAGCAGCGGAGGCGGGGGGGGAAGATGAAAATGAAGATGGCTGCCCCCTCTTGCTTCAGTCCTCCGTCAGGCGCTGAGAAACGCCCGACCGAGGCCCCGGAGGACCAGCCAATGTGAAGGAGCGCTCCTCTCTGATCTAGCCGGGCTTTGGGGACGCAGACGAGGCGGGGGGGGTGGGGGGGTGGCGGCGAATTCCTAAATGCGGGTCGACTTTTCATACTGCAAATCCCCCGCGTAGCGATAAAAATCCTTGTGTTGCTGTAAAAAACTGTCTCGTTTAAATATGAATATAGTACTCAGTTTTTGCTCTTTAGGAAACGACAGTCTGTTGCGCGGCGAAGGCGGCGGCGCCTTCACTACAACTCCATGTCCTGAGCCTCGTCCTCCGAAAAGTCCGACATGGAGCTCTCGGAGGAGGAGTCGCCCCCGCCCTCCTCCTGCTCCTTTAGAGCCTCCTCTGTGGCGTACTTCTGGATGTACTCTGGAACACACACACAAGCAGGGAGAGAGAGAGACGGATCCCTGAGTCCAGCTGACAGAAGCTTAGCATCTACGCGGTCAGACCTCTGTGGTGGGGAGACGGTCAGCCCGGTCAGAAATACGCTACCTTTGATCTTGTGTTTGTAGTCCTCTGGTCGGTGCAGGTACATGGCGGCGGCGTCCCCGTTGAGGGGGTCGATGGGGTTGGGGTAGGCGAGCAGCTGGGGGAGGAACGACTCGAAGATGTTGGTGAGGTCTGGGGGGGGTCGGGGAAAAAGAGGGGAGGGGGGGACAGAGCAGAGGAGGAACAATTCAGAGAGGTCTCTCCAACTGTTATATTAAAGGGGGCTGTTGGATTGTTCTCCCCATCTGACACAAACTGCAAACAGCCCGGCAAACACAAAGCAACGGCTACTGAATATATAAAGCCTTGAAATAATGCTATAAAAAAACCCAAAGTGCTCTGGATGGTCAGCACTGGGATACAGCAGCTGTCTGACCGGATATAGCCAACGGAGGTACTGTACCTGTGTCCAATCAACCCACCCCCTCCTTTTATTTGGATATGCTAATAAGCAAAGCGCTAATTACTCCCGTTGCGGGAGTTTAAAAACACAAACATCCCCCTGACTGCTGAGCGCAGGCCCCCCTTTACTTCAGTGCTTCAGAGGGGGGAGGCGGTTTGCCCTTTCAGTAAGAAAAAAAATCGTCAGAAAGAATTCTAACGCCGAAATGGTTTAGGAAATCTTTTGTGAAACTGCCTGCTTGGTCTTCTCTCCGACCGAGCCGAGCACCGCGCCCAGGCACTGAACTGACCTGCTGCCACGACGTTTGTCACTTTACAAAAGCAAAAAAATACAGCTGAAGACGCCCTGAACAGTTCCAACATTTGAAAAGTCTTTGGGCCATTTTCAGTTCAATGTAGTGTTTAAAGCGTGTCCTGATAGCTGTATTCTCTTCTTTTTTTTTTCAAAGGGGCCTATGTGGAACCAGAGACATATCACTAACTAATTGAATTTGTTATCATCAAAGCTTTTTTTGTTGTTGTTGTTTTTGTTGGTGAGTTGTATAATTTGTGAAAACCACCAGGCTGTAAGCTGTAATTGTCTCCAAGCTGAAAAGCTCCCAGGGGAGTTTTATGTGTTTGTTTGCAGTCGGTGAATTTTAAAAATGCACTCTGAAGGTTGAGCAAACATTTTAGATGTTTCCACCACGTCTCCCTCTTTTGGTCCAACAGATGGAAACAACGGTGAGATGCATCATTTAACAATACGAAATGTTATCCAAACTCCAGAATTAAAGGATGAAACGCTTTATAGTTAAAACTCTAGTTCGAGGCACTCACAGTAGTCTTCAATTAGTTTGAATTTTCCTTTAGCCGTATACGTTTAACATGATTTGTGTTGACGTGGAATGAAATCTTTGTCACACAACACAACCGAGACACAGAGTTATGAGGCTGGCTTAATACATGCCAAAACTTCTCCTGGTTGCCATCATGGCCCGACGCCCGCTGGGATGTTGCTGTTTACTTGCTAAATCTGGACACTAGCCGCACATGTCGCGTTGATATTTCCAATCAATGACACACCTGACGAAGTGAGACAAGCCCTCTTATCCGGTGACCAGGTACTGTTTGAAATACCTCTCGGTTCCAGCAGTTTTTCATCCATCAGCATTGGATACGTGACCTCAATACAAGCAGCGTTTATCACTGAAGCGTAAGCCGATTAAAGCGAGAAGCCCTGTGTGAAGCTGTACCGTAGAGGCGCCGTGTAAGCTGCTCACTTTGTCCAAGTTTCATTGGCTATTACTGTCAATCAACTCCAACAGCTGACCAGAGAGACTCTAGGAGAGCGGGCCGATTACAGCCGGGACCTACCGTACAGAGCTGTCCACGTCTGGTTGATGACGTCTAAACAGACAGTTCCTGACCTGAAAAACATAGAAACACAAAGGGAATGACAGTGAAGATTCCCCAAAACAATCATTCACTGGGAGCAGGCAGATTGTGTCCCTGTAGGCTTTGAGATGTTATGGTGAACATGCGAGTACTGTCCTCTAACGCTGTTCTACTCACGCTTCATCGATGTTGGGGTGAAATATTTTATTCATGAACCCTGTAAAAAAACAAAAACATAAGATTGTTTCAAAAGCTCATAATCGACAGGAAAGCATCTAAAACATGTCAAACTATTCCTACCTATAGAAGGTGATTTGAAAGGGTATTTATCTGGGAGGTCTACCCGAACTTTCCACACTCCTCCCTCATACGGTGCTATAAAATAAAAAAATAAAAAAACCTTTAGAGTGAAAAAGATCAGACAATCATCCTTTTTTTTTTTATTAGACCTTTAAATAAAAATCCATCATTGATGCATTGCAGAAACCTGCTGCTGTAAAGGAGGTTAGCTTTGAAATGTATTTAAAAGTTCTTACTTCCAGGTGGGCCGTGGAACTTGACCACAAACTCGTTGAGTCCGCTTAAGATGGTGACTTCATGCTTGCTCTCGATGCTGACCGCTTGTTAATGAAAATGCCCGCTTGAAAAACAGCCAAAGAAAAAGGTGCAAACCCGAACCTGATCCCATTTGAACAAACAGCATCTTTTTCTCTCAGTGAACTTGTTGGACAGAGGTCGAGAGGGCGATCAATAACGTGGGTCAGAACAATGAGGTCAATAATGTGGGTTAGAGAACACACAACACCACACAAACAAGTCGCCTCAACAACAGAACATCCTCACTGTGGGACTGGATGGAAAGTACGTTTTTTCGACAACCCAGTAAAGTCGGAGCATACCGGAAGACCAGACCGCGACCTGTTTAACATTAAGAAATCAGGAAAGGGCTCTGGTGCGCTAAAAGTCACAGGAAGTGGTGGCAGGGACAGCTGGAGACTGAGTCAGCTGTCCAGAGCAGCGCAGAGAGCTGGAGGATCTCATCCCAACCCGCGTGCTAGTTTGACACAAGACAGATGGGGAAATACAGTAAATGTTCCGCAGTGTTTCATCAACCTGTCATAAACCCATCTGTCACCCCTTCTCCAACTCTCTCCACCAGACATCGTTCAGATGATGAATAAGTCTTTTAGGTGAAAACAAGTGACACAACACGGCTTCATTGCATAACTGTCAGGAGAAACGCCCACAAGAGAAGAAGGAGACGGTCTAAAAAGCTGATCCGTTCAGCCGAAAAGGGTTCAAAAACACTGACCAAGAAAACGGAGCTGCTCTAAATGTGATGTGAGGCATAGGGTCCTATAAATAAAACCTGTTATACATGTTCACTTGCGCTCTTTCCCCAAGGATCACCCATAGAAACGGCAGTGAAGTTCTCAGACTAATGTAACCGCACAGGAGAAAAGCTTCGCTCTGACAAAAGATTACAGCACACACACGTCAAACATCTTTAGATTTGCTGCCTTCTCCTATCAATTTGGAAAACAAATCCTAAGCTAATCTTTTTTTCTTTTAAATGAAGACCAGCTAAAATTTCAGTAATTCCACATTGCCAAACCTGTCTCGAAGGCCACGGAAGCTACGGTTTTAATCCTATTTTTTGTAGATTTTAGTAATAATTAACCAAAGACTGAGCAGGCCTGCCCTCTTGTACAATTGAAGGTTTTCTCAAAACAGAACGTATTCAGAGCAAAGGTCACATGAAGCAGGTTTCTACAACAAAGCAGACACATTTCTTAAAGTACAACTGTGAATATTTTTACTACTCTTTAGTGTTACACTTAACCTCTCGCGCATATTTCTACGACTTGCCATCCCTCCCCAGGGATGACGCTTACTCACAGCTAACACACACACATTACTTCATTCTGAAGGTTTTAATCCATTATAAATAGACACTATGGAACTACAAAGATTTGGGGTCTTTTTTGAATATTTAAAGTAATGGAAATTCCATTTAACACATAGTATCCACACACCCCCACAGTGTATGTGTGAGCATATTTAATCTAAAATGTCAGGAAACTCGGCCGTGGCAAAAGGCCTGCAGTAACTCTGACGGGAGGATGTTCAAGTGCAAATATGAGATTTGAAGCAGAAGAAAAATATGCATGGAATCTTCCATGTTTATTTGGAAACTGGTGAAACAAGAGCTTCAACATCGAATGAATGGATCCAAACGTGTTTTGTCCCGTTGACTCTGTCTTTTTACACGCAAGATTTCATAAACTAACCTAACCTAAGTAAAGTATTAACTTGCATGGGTCATTTTAACTGTATATCAGTAGCATCAGTAGTATCAGGTTTTTTTAAACCATGTTTCCTCCAAGTCAAAAGAGATCTTTGAAAAAGTATATAAATAACTCAACTTAAAGTAAGATTGAAGAATTTAGCCGTTTCTCTCCCTACAGTAGTAGTATGGAGCACTGATGTCATCAAAACAAATGTCATTGTGAACCCAGCATATTTCCACTGCATGATATTTACTTGTATTGAAAAGACTACAAAGACATAATCAAAAGGTTACAAAAGTTTGAAATGACCACAAAGTAAAGCAATGCATTGCAGCAGTGGAAACCAGACGTGTGACCTGTGGTATTTTAGTTTCAGTGCATGCTAAGGCAGCTTTAGGCCTGGAAATGTGCACGACAAAAGTCAAATAAGTCAGAAGAACACTCTTTTTAGGTTAAAAAACTTTTTAGGGGCTTTTTAAATCAATAAAAACATGTATTGAATAAGGTGTCAGAAACGTTCAAAACCCAGTCTTTGATTGCAACCTTTTTCCCTTGGCAAACGATCGAGAAACTAAAGATCTCTGGTTTAAAATACAAACGTTTTGTCAACTTATTGTCTCGGAACTAGTTTCACGTCAGCACGCTGTCCTGTCCCTGTTCCCTGCCCCCATCCCTGCATGTGCCCCTCCAGCATGCTTGTTGTTCCTCGATCAGCTGTGTCTGAAGGCCCGCCCTCTACCATGTTCCGGATGGTAACAGGCTGACCAATCAGAGGCCAGCATCTAGCTGCAGGACAAAAACAAAACAATTCAGCTCACGCTGTCAGAAAACCTTTCAAGCACAAACCCAAGTCCCTAGCTGCCTTATCTGTTGAAAACGTCTCTATTATATATGACAATGATAAACGGCTTAGTGTTAAAAGGTAAAAAAAAAAAAAAATACCACGCTTATTTAGACAAATAGATCAAGCGAAAAAAAGTGATCGTGAATTGGGGAATATGATGCCCTTTCGCTTAAATCTTTCTGACATATTTAAAAATATATACAAAACAACATTATTACGCTTTTAAATTGCATTTTTCCAATGTACAAACCCGACATATTCATCAAAATAGATTTGTCTTAATCTCAAATGTCGCTCAATGTGCCAGAATGTTTGTATTTGGATTTCTATTCCCCATAAAAGGAGGAAATGGTGGAGTTATCAATTATCTGCTTTTAAGCTTCAACAAAAGCTTTACCTTTACCTGTCGTTTCAATCAAAGATCGTCTCTACATCGACCTTAATTGTTCTCTCTTGGTGATAGCATGCTAAATGGCTAACTCCCTTAGCGTTAACCTTATAAAATAATTCAATAATACGCGTGTACCTCCAAGAAAGTGCGTCCAAAATGTAATGAAAACCTCACTTATATCTCACAATGTGTTGTCAGTCCGGTGGAATCTCATATTGTTGGCTAACAGGTTGACTTCGTCTTCAGGCTAAGGCTAACAATGTACTAAGCTAACAGAGTTAACAGCCAGCGTTGTATTTCGACCGTTTCCGTTGCGAATTCTCTGCTGATACACACAGATCGACCACGGCTAACTGACTAGCAACCCAATGCTAAGTTATTTCGGACGAATAACGTTAAATCTACGGCTCATTATCCGTTTTGCTAACTGGCTAATTCCTCCCAGCCCATAGACTAACGTTAGGTACAGAACCTGGCCATTAACATCAAAGTATTCACTATTACACACTTACACACAACGTACAGCCGCCACTGGGAGCGAATTATACCTGAAAATAGCGTAAATAATAAGACAATGCGACTTCATCTAACTCTTTCGGCTTGTTATGAGCTGGAAAGGATACAGTTTCACGACGTCGGTATCCATTCGCCTCTTGCCCGGACTTGGAGACGACATTTTTCTATCCCTCTAAGAAGTGATCTAAAAATACTGCGGCTCTGAGGCTACCTCAACCTTTCAGCTGGAAAACACCTACGAGCCCACTGGACTGTATCAGCAGCCTTCCCGCAATGTCCATAAACAAGATCCTCGCTGGAACATCGCCTTCTTTTCCTTCCGAAGTGTCCCCTGACCAGCTCTACCTAGTTGTGTCCTGTCCTGAAGACTCTGCCAGTGACATCAACCTCCAGCCACCAGAGGAGGGGCTCGGCCGTAGAAATACGCTCCCAGAACGCAGCCACTCTGTCAGCTTTCACTTTGTGAACCCCACTGGGTTAGACGCTGCCATTTATTCAAAGATACACGCAGACAACACATATAACCGCCGCTTAAAGCGCCTTGTTTTAGAAAGACTGCTAAAAATATACGAGTTGTAGCACGTGAGCGTATCTATTAGACGTATATCTATGTTGAAATTGACTCATTGAGAACAAGAAAATAAGCACATCAGGTACAAGTTAAGTCACGTGAATGACATGAGTGAAAAACAGGAATAGCTGTTGAGTAGGTTCACGTGATCATCCCAAACATTAGTTTAGATTGATATCTAATGTATAATGAGGGGACGGTTATATTCCCTTCAGGCTGTCAGATAGCGACAGACAAATCCTGATCATTTGTGAGAAACGCTGACTTTTGGGTGAATAAAAACATTTCTGCAGTAGTCCTGATTCAGTAAAAAATGTCTACAGACATTTAAAAGTTTTTCATGCCGTTATTTTGTGAAATCCTCAATTTAAGAATACAAGTTTAAAACATTTATATAGAACAACAATTTCCCAAAACATAATATCTTCAATAAATGTTTATTGGAGTGACATTACTGTATTAACTGTAAACGTGCTTTCTGCATAGTCTACGTTTTTATTGTTTTCGTTATTTAGCTGCTCTTTAGCACCACTGAACAGTGATAAGGATTTTAGCACTATTCCCTGAAATCAAGAGGGTTCCTGGTATGAATATCACCCAGGAGTGTTCACCAGACATTTGCGCTCCTCTTTACTCTGACTTTCTCCCACAAGCAAAAAGAAAAAAGATGTTCAATCAGTTGTTGATCCACACTGATAGCAGGAGACTGAACTCATGATCTCAGTTGAACTAAATCAAAACCGTAGCAGCAGCCAAGGTTGCTCCTGCCTTCCCCAAAAACATGTTTTTATATCAAATGTAGAACGGCGTTGATGATAAAATACAGTTGTGCCATTTGTTTTGAATAGTTTGTTCTATGTTTTGCAGTTGTGGTCAAAATGTGATAATGCAAAGGCAATCCGATGAGACAGAATATGGTAGATCAATACTAAAAACACTACAAATCTTACACACTAATACAAACAATGTTTTCCCCAGTTCTCTTATGATGTATAATGTCAAAAAGACAGCAGGAGACTCAAACCAGACTGTGAACTAAATTTTGCACCCTGAGTCATTCATCTAATCCCAATTCGATTTTATCCATCATGGCCTAATACTGAGATTAGCATGTACAAGAACACTGGTTGATTTCCTCACAAACAAAGATAGACAATTTAAAAATGATAATGTTCAAATTATGGTGATAATGTGAAAGTGATCTTAATTACTTCATTATTTCTGGTGCATATTTCTTCTTAAAATGTGGCACTCCACTGAGCCTTCGAGTGTCCTGAGGTTTATTCTCCCTCTCAACTATTCGTAACCAATCTTAGGACAGCAAGTCACTTCTTTTGTCCACGTATAGCCTGCTCTCCTTCTCAACGTGTGCTCATGTTTAGTTTGCTGGCCTTGCATTGACAGTTATATGTGAAAAAAACGCAATCTTTTGTGGTCATATGAGCATCTAGACTAAGGCTAAACATGGCCTATATTGTGTTGTTGCACTGTTAAAACATTATTTTTCAATCCGTCATGATATTTATTTTGAACCCGTCAGTGTATTTTTTTTTACGTGTAATCATAAAAAAGCAATGTCTTTTTAAAAAAAAAACAGGGAGTCATTTTTCATGAAAAGTATCTTATCTTTATCATAATGTATCCTTCGTATCCAGCAAAGTGGCATCCATGATGATGGCAGTAGTGTTGCAAGTTCTGTGTACTTTATACTAAAACCTTGTGATTATACATTCTGATCCCATATAAGAAGGGACGCGTTGTTTCAGTAGAATGGTGTAGTTTTGCTAACAGGGCATGTGTCAGTCTCCACCTCGTGTCATGTGAATGCCCAAGGTTCAAATCATTTATGTAGCTGCTCCATTCATCCCCCTCTGCTTCAGCAACATGACTTCTCAGACAGAGGACTTGAAAATGACATCTGCTTGATGTAAAAAAAAACCTCTCATGAGATTTCTCCTCTTAACTGCACTGAATGCTTAAAAATATATTTTTGTGAGATCAAATTTCAGTTTCAGGCCTGGTTTTTATGCCCGCTTCATTGGACGCATGAATGTGCATGTGTCGTGGGGATGTGTCACATCTGAAGTTTTCCTTGTTTCAAGTCACATGATATACTTACATGGCTTGGGATGGTCCTTATGTCGTGACACATTTAATCAGGAAACATATTTTTTCTGGTCCACATTAAAACATTATGTTTTCTCAAAGCTAAAGCACTGAAAATTCTAGTTTTAACATTGGTAACCTGCCAGTGTGAAGAAGCTATTTCCATTTCATACACAGGTAGAAGCAATGTTTGGTTGTACACATATTTAAAAGAAATAATTCCATATATAAAAAGTTAATTGTGAATATAGGATCTTACAGAGTATATTATGGCTAATGCACGTGTTCAGAGCCAGTGTGCAAGTTGTGACATACCTCTTAAACTATAGTATTTAAAAAGCAGTAAAAGAGATTAAACAGGTAAAAATGAATCTGTCTGAATACACTGAAACCTCTAGATACAACACAGACACGCAGCAGCCTCTTCCTTTCCAAATTCAAAAGGGATAGATGTCATCTTGTTTGAACCCCCCCCCCAGCAGTTTAGTCTATAATAAAGCCTACATTGTCTCACCCTCCACAACCGGATTACTGATGGTGTCAAACATGTATTCATTTCTGTAAAACTGAGCTGCAGTAAAGCCTCATTTTACAACTATTTGACATTCATGGTGAGCATGTCCACATAGGAATAGATATGAATTTTGTATCATTTTGGTACACTTTTTACTCACATTATGTGAGTTTTTTGTCCAAATCAATGGAAAAAAACATATCAGTGCTGATTTATACTTTACTCAGCCTTACTTAGAAGATTAAGATTTTAACTACACTATCAACAGCCTCATCTTCTCTTATCTTGAAACGCCTGAGCAAACAGATGGTGTGCTTGTAGCGCATTCCCCAGCCACTAATTGCTCTAGAATTAGTCTGTGCTGGTATGAGGTTCTGACCTTTTTAAACCTAAGGATGGGTCGCTTGATGGAACTCATTTTTAACCAATCTCTGGTATTATCCATTTTAACGTAGACTTTTCTTATTTAAATTATTACTTGATATAACTTGACTGGGTGTTTTTTTCTTCATTTTTTTGATGGATGGCAGCAATAACTGAAACGAATGCTGCTGACAGATCTCTGAAACTTGAGTTAACTGGTTTGGTAGAACAGCAGTGCAGAGAGACACCTTTGACTATAAAGATGGATCTGTTATGAGCACCCAGCGAGGAAATATTATGAGTGAGTTAATTAAATATGAAAACTGCGATAGCCAACAAAAACTAAGTGCATTTGATTATTTTTGTTGTCTATGTTGTTCCAGTTATTCAAAAAGCCAGAGCAGATTTTCAGGGATTGACCTGTTTGGGGTGTTTTGCTATTTCAAATTCCTCCTTTTGATCTTCAAATCCAGATTACAACATGTCACCTATGCAGCGCCTGCAGATATGGAAGAAAGGTTGAGTCTCCACTGCTTGGTGTTCAAATTGTATTCAACATAGTGTACATATTTCAGAAGACATTGACTTACCCTGTATATTTTTGTCAGGTGTTGTCAGATTATCCCACACTGTATAATAGCTGTCAATTTACAAGTCTGGGAACCTCTAAATTTCACAACCAAACTTCCCTTCAGGGTTGTGATCAAATAATATCAGCACACAGTAGTAAAACCAGAGTTTGATCATAATTAAAACAGCATCTGGCCAACACTTAATAATTTTGGATTTCAGCCAATGTAATTATGTTGAAAAATGCTATTTATACCAAATAAATGAGTTTGTATGTACTATGAATTATTATAAATTAGTTTATTGCGAATTTGAACAAACAAACCGACTGACGCTTTTAAATTGAGCATTTCTAACATTCGTTCCCTTCTTGTATTGGAGAAGGATTTTGATAGCTATAACAAACAGCCAACGAGACATTTTTCTCGTTTTTCTTCTGCTGATTGTTGATTAAATGCATCAGAATGGCTGCTTCTAATTCTCTACGCATTTCCGTGCTGCTCCTGAACGCTGCATGGGTGCCTCCTCCTCTGATTGGCTACTTTAGACCAGCTGGTTGTGATGTTGCAGGCAGCTGTAGCTATTTCTTTTGTTTTTGCTCGGGCTCTGTAGCTCGCTTGCCGTCCCATGCCACAAAGTTTGGCCGGCCGGAGGCGGGTTCGTGTTCAGGTCTGGGTGTGACCCCTCTGCTCGAGTGACCCCTGCGAAGATGTCATCCCCTGAACACCTTAATAAGTTTGTGAAACTCTCGGGGAGGCCATCCAACCGCGACTCAGGTTTGTAAACAAAACCGGCTGTTCCCAGCAATTATAAGTTCTTACAAAGGGCAGTCTAAACAGAGAGCCACTGTTGTTGAAGGCGTTGTTTTGTATATTCCTGCAGACAATGATGACTATTTGTTTGAATTTATTGTGACGGGAGCTTTGCAGCATAGGAGACGCAGGCCACAGTTAGCTAACGCTGCTACGGAAGCTGCACCGGGGGTGTTATCACCGCTGCTGGAATTTATTTATAGTATCTTTTAATAGAAACTTACACGTGGGAATGTTGTAAAAGAAACCGATAGAATACACCTGCCCACACCTGTAAAGAAACTAATAACAATCGAACACGTGACGTTAAAAAAAAACTAAAATCCACTATGTCTATACTCCAGCAACGTTAGATCATCACACCTCATCAATAGATATGACCAATTTCTTGGTTGATTCTCATGGTAAATGTTTGAGTTTTTTTCCCTCATCAACTTCAAATCATACAGAATGTAATAAAAGTAATTTTCTGAAAACAATATGCATGTAAAATGCATGTCTTCTTTGTGTGTCTTTGTGTCATCAGGTGCCAAGAAAATATGGCTTCAAGCTCGACGTATTTTTTCCCCTACCTGGCCCAGCCTGCGGATCCCCAACAGGTTTCTGGGAGAAGGTGCTGAAATCTCAGATAATGCTACAATAAACATGCTATTCATTTAAAGATCTACGTTTTTGCAATTATTGAAAACTGGTAACTGGAGGTGCTTTTTTGCTGCCTGACTGGGTTTCCTGAGGGCTTCCGTCTGTCTGAACTGTTCCTCCCTCAGGTCACTGCGTACCACCTGCCCGCAGCGGTCACCGCTGCGTCGCAGACAGCACCAACCTGTACGTGTTCGGAGGCTACAATCCAGACTTTGAAGAGGCAGGCGGCTCCGAAAACGAAGACTACCCTCTTTTCAGGGAGCTTTGGCGCTTTCATTTTGCCTCGGCCACCTGGCAGCAGGTCAACACGGAGGGCTACATGCCCACAGAGCTGGCATCCATGTCGGGTGAGGTGTGATGCCCGTCACTCTCTTTCCCTGAAATCAGCCTGAACTCGTACCCATATTAAATGGATTTAAAATTCTTTTTAAAATCGTATCATAGGGATTTAAAATATTCTTTTCACTTCATCAAAAACATGCCTAATCAGAACAGTCCTGGAGTGCTTTTTACATGTTGTGACTTGTTGCTTTCAGGCGGCGTTGCTTCACTGAATCTCGCTGTGTTTCCATTTAGCCATGATCATAAATAACACTTGGTTGAGGGATAGTTTATCATATCAAGTTCAGCACCATCTTATGTCTCAATAGACTGATTTAATTCTTTTTTTCTCATGTCAGTTTGAAAAGACAAAAGTTTGCACGCTCAAATTAAAATAATTTGGATTATCTGACTTTGAAGTGGAGTACAACAACCACACTATTTATAGATTATGCAATAAATCCTAAAAATTATAATATTGTCAGAAATTAACACGTTCTATGCTTAACATTTTATTGGTCAATCAGCTTGTGAATTTTGAGAGGCTCCGTTTTGTAAATTTAACATCACATCATGCCTTTAAGGCCCGGACAAGAGATTAATTTCTGCTGCATTTCAAATGTAATGAAAAATTATTATTTTTTCTATCTCTTTTTTTAATTGTTGTTCTTTCCAGAATTTCATAGAAATAGTCTTTTACTGCAAGTAGACATTGACCATTTCATACTTTCTTCTGACATTTATTAGAAATGTGCAGACCTCCTCCATAGAATATTTCCATCAGTGGTCCAGACGGCATCTTATTATCTGTCATCTGTCTCATGTACTTTGGAATTGGCTTTCAGATCTTCAAAAGTGTTGGGCCCCAAGTATGAAACAAGATGTCGGATTGGATTAAAGGTCCGCAATAATGTTGGTGTCTTCCTCTCAGCTGTCCTGCATGGGAACAACCTGCTTGTGTTTGGTGGCACTGGGATTCCTTTTGGTGAAAACAACGGCAATGACGTCCACGTCTGCAATGTTCAGTATAGACAGTGGAACCTGCTCAGCTGCAGAGGAAAGAAACCCAACAAAATCTACGGGCAGGTAATACGTCTCAGAGGAGCTGACGTGTTCTGGCTTCATTAATCTTCTGCCTACAAACGCTCACCAACGTTCTCCGTGTGCAGGCGATGGTACTCATAAAAGGCTACCTCTACGTGTTCGGAGGGACAACCGGCTACTTGTACAGCACCGACCTGCACAGGTTGGACCTGAGCACCAGAGAGTGGACACACCTCAAACCCAACAACACGCCGTTGGATCTGCCTGATGAGAGGTCAGCCTGAAGAGAGGGTTTTTAGATCCAGGTGTATCTCACGGCATGCTTTAGCGTGGACTCAGCTCGTCGCTGCAGGCTAAAAATGAACTGATCTTTTTTTTTTTTTTTTTTAAGGTACAGGCATGAACTGGCTCACGACGGACAGAAAATTTACGTCTTTGGAGGAGGGACTTCATGGACTTCGTGTCCACTGGACAAAGTGAGAAGAGCTCATACAGAATGCTCTATTTTACTCAAATAAGTCACAGTGCTTAATTTTTATCAATCTGATATTATTTCTGCCCATCAGATTCACGCATATAATTTGGAGACCAACTACTGGGAGCAAATAGTTACGAAACCCCATAAAAATATAGGTATGTGACTCTCTTTAAAATGTCTGGCTAGACTACAGAGTCGAATAAACTTCATTCTGAAATGCGTTTGTTTTATCTCAGGATATCCTGGTGCTCGCCGATGTCACAGCTGTGTGCAGATCAAAGACGGTAAGAAGTATTTCAGACGGATTTTACTGTCCCAAGTGTTTAGTTTCCTCCCCCCTCATGCCTCCATCTATTTTTACACCCAGAGGTGTTTATATGCGGGGGCTACAACGGCGAGCTGATCCTGTCCGACTTGTGGAAGATCAACCTGCAGACTTTCCAGTGGACAAAGCTCCCTGCCGTCATGCCAGAGCCAGCCTATTTTCACTGTGCCGCTGTCACTCCGGTCAGTAAAAAAAAAGAGGATTTATTTAACCCTTTTTTCTGTATTTCTTTCGGTCAGCGAAACAGTGAGCGGGTGTGAGCTAGCCTGCTGTCGAAGTTTTCACAAACCTGTTTGTGAAGGTGTGTCAGCAGTAAAATTAGGCATGTCCATGTTCAGATACGCTCATAAAAAATAAAAAAAGAAGCAAGGAATGGTTTTTAAGGTTACAAAGACACCTAGAGAGCTCTGTGATCAGGTCATGGCCTCTCACACTGGCTAATTTTCATGACTTAAAAAAAATAATAAAAAAAATAAAGTTATTTTGTAACAGAAAACTGTCCCAGATTTTTCAAGCACAGCTGCCACATCTCATTATGACGGCAGACTTCTGGACTCACGAATCTTCTTGAACTTGAAACCTTTTTTTAATTTATTTTTTACTTGCTTTTCTGCTCGTCTCCCTCAGGCCGGCTGTATGTATGTCCACGGTGGCGTCGTAAACATGTCTGGGAACCAGAGGACGTCGTCGCTGTATAAAGTGTGGCTGGTGGTGCCCAGTTTGCTTGAACTGACCTGGGAGAAACTGCTGAAGGAGTTTCCTCACTTAATGCAGCTGTCCACCCTTCAGCTGCTCAGCCTGGGACTGACACACACTTTCATTCAGAGGCTAAAATAGTGAGCACAGTGACTGTTGTGGGGCAGCAGGGATGCTCAAGTCGGTGGTAAGTGGCTCGAGACATCTTGATGATTTTAGATAGGAAAGTACTTGGAATGTCTTTTTATACAACTTTTTTTTTTCTTTCTTTTTACGTGCAATTTATTTTTTTCTTCCCACATTTGATTTTCACATGGTGACTGACTTTGGATTCAATGCATTTCACATATGTTTTTTTAAAATCTGTTATTTAAATTGTACATGCTGGTCCTTGAAAGATCGCCCGTTGAAGGCCAAAACAAAAGATGCTCAGGAAGTGGAGTTTTAGCTTATGGCCGGGTTGTTTCGGCATTGCTGAGGAAATGACACTGCACCGTCGTCTGCCTCGACTCTGAGAGGCTGAGGAAAACGGTACTCCATGTTCAAACGGATCGAGTCTGGGCTTGATAATGGACTCGTCTCAAAGCAGGAAAAAAAAAAATCTGATGCTGAGGAGGCGCGGCCATGTGACTGAAACTTATCAGGCCTTTCACATCAGATATTTAATCCCATTTCTGCTTTTAGGATGTCACAGTCCACGTCTTAGAATAGTTTGGGTGTCTATATAGACAGAATGAAACTTCCTTCACTAGTGACATTAGGCTCTTGACCAGATGAAAACCCTGAAGCCTCATTCACACTCATGTGACTCACTGTGAAACTTCTCGTGCCTCCGTGATTATTTTCCTCGGCTATTAATTTAGAAACTTCAAAGTCCACCGATTCAAAGGCTTTATTTCCCTTTCTTCATGGGGTGCCTTCTGTAAAAAAATAATTTCTATCATTCCTCTTTGAGCGCGTTTCACCTGGTGCTCCCCAGATGAGCCTGTTGAGCCTGTCTGTTCATAAGTTCTCAGCAGGTACTCGTTCAAACTCTACATCCCCTCAGATACATTTTTATTTAAAAGGGGTGAGCTGCTTATTTAATGATGAACTTTTTGAAATGTACCTGGAGATGTTGTAGCTGTGTTTTTAATCTCTTTATTAGTATGATTTAATTGTCACACCAGTTGCCACCGTATACTTTAATGGCCTTTTAACCTCCTTTTTTTTTTTTTTTTTTTAATTCTATGTACAATAAACACATGAACTTTTTTTTTTCTTCTTTTTAGCCAGGGGTGCTTTATTTCACCAGAGAATTTGGTAGTTGGTGAGAACTTTTTTTTTGTTTTTTGTTTTTAAATGATTATTCGCTGTGCTCAATATGTAATTTGAATTTCTGTGAGGTGACTTCTGAAGAGCTAGCAGACACCCATCACTGTCAAAATGTCGGTATGCTCAAATATTTGTGGAGCCAAATTAAGGCATGCTTGCAGTCCTTCAGCAGACTTTGCAGGTTGTCATGTTAAATACTGTGCTGTTTCAAACCCACTTTCACCTTTTGACAGCTGTTATATCAGCCTTACTTGAAGAATTTTGGTTCACATAAATGTAACTGTGTGCTCTGTCTGTATCAGTAGGTGTACTTCAGAGGCCTTTTTCACCTTCATCTGTATTGTGACGCTGTCTTAAGATTTACATGGACTGACATCACTTTTGACCTTAACAGAAGAAAATCCTGTGCATGCCTCTTTATGTGAATTCTTGAGGGAAGAGCTGAATGTGTCTTTTAAGGCAAAACCGACTGACTTATGTTTTCTGTCTGTTCAAACAATAAAAAAATGGCAGCTGGTTTTTCAAATTCTCTCATTTAGACATAGTTTATTTTCTTTTTTGCCACAGACATATCATATCACAGACACCCCCCCCCTGCCCCCCCCATCTACTGTATATCACAATAGTACCTGAAAATATCTTCAGTGCCTTTCAATGTTTAAAAAATACCTTAATCTCTGCTTCACAGTTTAAAAATATGTTACTGGGTTAAAGATGCATTAAGTATGCCAGCCTCTGAATTGGACATAATACATCAGGAGTGATTACGGTAAAAAGCTTCTACCTGAGATTAAACATTTCAGTTTGTCTTTAGAAAACATTATAAATGCTCCTCATGGCTTCCCCATCAACAGTCAAATGAGCTCAACATGGAGTCGTGCAAATTAGATACCACTCGGGCTTGCAAATGGATGTTGGGGCTTAAAGTTGTTCCTGCTTTCAACAGCCGGCTGGAGATGGAGCAAAGTAATACAGAGCCAGGAGGATGAGGTAGACGACCACTAGAGCTGTACCTGTGGAGAAGGAGACGGTTAGTCAGCAGGCCCCGTTTTGGGCCTGAGAAATAGAAAACTGCTCTTCTGCTGGTGTAGACAAGAGTTTAAAAATGTCTGTTCATTGTAGACTATAGGGCTCAGTATATGGAGGTATGCACAAGAGGTAGTGGATTTAATCTCAGGTGTATTCAAGAGCGAGACCTTTTGGGATGTTAATACTGATCAAGTCGCACAGCTGTAATTTAAAACTCTACAACTCTGAATGCTGAAAACTTACCCTGAAAGTAGTCAGACTTGCCATCCATGAAAATATAGTTGACCAGAATCACACTAAAGATGCTGGCCCACATGTGCTGATCGCTGAACAACAGTACAAAGCCAACATCCTGGATACAGCAGAGGTTATTAGAAAAACAATTTATATATATATATAAAAAAAAACACATTTAAATTGATGAGGAATAACAAGTGAAAACTTACATAAAAGACATTGAAAAGGACCAGTATCGGAATCTGTAGCATGCACACCTGCACAGCAATACAGCTTCCAACCTCTAAGCTGAGGGAAAAGAAAGCACATTTTATTTTCGGGTACGACTTTATTTAACAATTTTTTTTAAGAGGAAGCAAGTTACCTGAGGCTTATGTTGTTCTGCAGCGCAAACTGGATCCCGTTGACTATCTCTGGTATCTCTGGAACCATAGCCAGAACCGTCACACCGATGAAATACTGGAGGAAGAAAAATCTATTAACCCAGCTGGTGGAGAGTGACGACTGAGCGTGCGCACGAGCGTGCACGGACTGACCTGAGAGACGTTGGGCTGGCTGAGAATGGGCTGGATGTGCTGGGTGGCAAGGTCAGCGCACGCAGACGTGAGCACGGTGGCCACGATGAGGATGACGAGAGACCGCCACCGCGACCAGTGGACCACTGCTCCCTGGTGGCTCGACTCTGCACAGGCAAGTCCCAGAGGTGACTGAGTAACCGTGGCAACCATGCCCTCGGGGTGCACATTACAAGGCCACAAGCAAGTGGGAGTTTAGGTGTCGTTCCGTACCCTGTCCTCCAACGTGGATGTCGTAAATGTGGGAGTGTGTCTTGAGAGTAAATATCAGACCAATAATGTATGCTGCTGGCAGGAGGACTGACACGGTGTACACCAGCGGCCTATCAACAAAAACACACACAGACTTCATTAATCCCTTTAGAAAGTCGGACAAAATGTGACTCCACTGATTTCACAATATCTTCCGCATTAACTTGTTTGGTGTAAATCTTATATTTTAAAGGCTATATTCTGAAATGTTTCTCAGGTGACCAGCAGGAACTCAGTTTGTCTTGTGATAAAATAACAGCTCTTAACCGTAAAAGAAACTCAACTTACTCGACATGGTTGTGGAACAGCGTTTTGTTGTTCTGTGGATGAAAACGAAAAAGAAAAAAAATCGTTATTCACAGAGCAGAGCTCGCAAATTGGAGCACATTTAAGGTTTCTGTGAGCTCTTCGGGGTTAAAGACCAGATCGTAGTGGCAGTTGTGGCACACAAAGGGTCCGCTGCTGTTGCTCGTGCCGTTCCCTGAGTTGGTGCAGGCGTCGCACACCAGGTTCCCATAAGCCTTGGAAAACAGCGTGGGTGCAAACACACCTGCCAATGACAGATGGAGGACATTACCCGAAACCCGAAAATGTACCTGGCGAGCTGTGTTTGTGCTCGGTTACTCATCGAGACTAATGCAAAGAGATGGGTGCATTCAATAGAAATCAGACAAGAGACTTCTTTACAGTCTTGACTTTTTGACCCCTGAATTGAGAATGAAAACTTCTAAGAGGGTACAGATATTTCCTGTGTATTTTATGTTTTAAGTAATTAGTTGTGCATGCATTGGTCAACGTGCCTCCCACAGAGATGAAAAGTAACGCGGAGCTCACTCCTGTACACCGACTGTTGAATCTCTGCTCGCTGTGTTTCAGCCCTCCGATTACCATGCAGATTCCCTGAAAAAGACAAAAGTTGACGTCTCATTAATATGCACTGATTAATGAAAAGCAAAAAGATACCAACGAAATCTTTTAGACCAAGTTTTCTCCAAACATTTAAACACTGATTAAATAATTCTTTCAGACCTATCATTGTGCTTATTTGGGTACCTGATCTGGTCAGTGGTCCATCATCTTTGTAAGATACATAGAAACTTATTTTTCCCCGAACTAAGAAATAATTCACATTTGTGATTAAGTCTGGCAGAAAATGCGCTGTCAGTTAAGCTTCACTATATAAATCCTAACTTCCACAAAATTTGGTTTTTCATTTTGAGAGCGTATTTTCTATTTTTTGTTGTTTTATCATTATTATGCTTTTTATTCTAAGTGAGGAATAATCTGATGGAGCTGCGGGCTGGCTCACAGGGATGAAGAGGATGCATCCGAGCAGCGTGCCAGTCAGCGCCGCCTTAACAACCTCCTGCAGGCAGCGGTCGGCTGTCCGGTGACTTCTGAGCAGGGCTGTGATGTAAAACGTCAGCTCTGTGATGGAACCGAAGGTGGCGTTGACCACTGCGCCCACAGCAAAGTTACTCTGAGCGGAAATACTGCACAAAGCACACAAATGATCAACGCTAAACATGAGAATATTTTTTAAAAGATAAACTGGCTCAGAGTCTGACAGCACTGATCTTAACGTAAACCCCTCACCTGGCAACACCCATTCCGATGTAATAAGAGAGAGGGATGATGGAGCCGATGGCTATGGCGAACTTGACCTCAGAGCTGGCGTACTGGTTCTCTCTGTCGACGTATCCCATTACCAGGGCAAGTATTACTAAAGGAAGGAGGTCTTGGGTAGGGGGGTCAAAGATTATAACATCTCTTAACCTAACACTGACACACACCATTACAGGTAAATGTAATGTTAAAGGATACTGACAGCAAACACGTTGATGCCATCAACAGTGTACTTGTAGTAGTACCAGTTTGCAGCATGGTAGCAGCACAGCAGAGCTCTGGTCTCGTAGCCGTGATGCTGGGGACAGAAAACACACTCCTCAGTTAGCATCTCTCCAGGACGGCGTGCTGTGACCGACAAAGACTACATTACCACTTCACCTTCCTCTGAGAGCTGGTGGTGATCAAGACATCCTCGGGAGCTCTGAGAAGTATGACCCCCAGAGTCTGTGCGTTCATTTTTGAGACGGGGATGGTGAAGACCAGGATCCAGGAGATGAAGCAGGCCAGAGAGTGAATGATTGCCAGGGGAGGGTATCCCAGCAGCAGCCATAGGTAGGTGGAGAAACGATGCTGCAAAACAGGGCATTTTAGAGAAAATGGAGCCTATGATTGATCCCCCATATGGAGGGGCGGGAGCCTGTCCCAGCTGAATGAACGCATAAACCCATGCTTTCAAGAGGAGACGATGCTAGTGCCTTACAGAAAGACCACATTTGGGATTGTTCTGTGAGTGTTTGCTGTCTTTCACCCATGTATTCTGTCCCCATCAATACCGATCATGGCAGAGGCTAATAATGTCCCATCACAACTCTATGTTAAATCTTTTAATCCTTGATTTAAGTTAAAGCTATTCTCATTCCATTCGTGTGGGCATTTACCCAGTAGGGGGTTCGCAGAGGTCGTCCAGGCACATCTGGAACCGGCACCTCAGTGGGTGATGGCAACAGGACCGGTGAGTTGTCCTCCTCCGTCTCTATGCTGCACTCACAGTCTGGTGCATCTTCACAACATCTCCTCAAAGTATTTCCAATCTGGGAAACAAAGCCACAGGAAAGTGTTACTTCTGCCCCATTAACACAAAAACAACTATTAAAATAATAATAATATTAACAATGAATCAGCAATACACTTGAGATTCTCTTTGAACAGCTCTTTACAAGATTTAAGGACACCAAACTAAATTAAACCCAAAATAAGGTGGTTGATAAAGTGATAGAAATGCAACAAATAAAAGATTTCTAAAAAGTAATGACGTTCATTTCTTTTAGAGGTTAGATGAATTGAAGAGGGCTTGATTTCACGTTTCAGACCGAAACCTTTGATGTTCTGTGGTTAAAGTCTGAGTTTTACACCAGACTGCGGTTAACTATTCAAATCAGACAGAATTCAGATGAGAAGATTCAAAAGTCTGATATAAAAGTATGCAAGCAGAAGACGTACATATGCGTACACAAAACCACTGGTCCCAAAAATCCCTATTGAAAGGGTTCATTCTTCACTATTTAGAGGACCTGGATGCTGCTGTGCTCAAATTTCCAGCAGCCTGTTCAATGTTGCTTCATTGGCTGTAAGACTTGGACAGGTCTTAGTGTTGCAGACTTCTGCTTTCATGACCTTTAATCTAGCTTTACAGTTTTAGAGGAAACCGGCACAGACAAGAGCAGGAACGTCTCAAACTGAACTCATGCTGTACCTCGTGGATCGTGTTGCCAAATGGCCAAATGAAGTAGCAGCACAGCTTCCAGCAGAGCTTACCTGAGGACAGAGAGACAGGGAAAAAGTGAGAGAAAGGTTGGCAGTAATTAATTCCACTTCTCCAGGACTGACTGGCTCACCTACCATAAGGTACTCCAATAATAGAAATGAACATAAGGGTGCCGACCAGGAAGTATGCCAGGGACACCCACCAGCCAAAGAGGAGGACATAAACTACATTTCCACATGTGATGAACTGGCCTGAAAACAGACGGTCAGACAGAAAAATCCATTAATGAAAGGCCGACATGATCTTTAGCTTTGTCTTTGGGTTTGTTTTTCTTCTTAAAATCTAACAAGGTTCCTTTGATTCATATATATGTCTTTAGTCCTCTGCAGGGAAAACTTGTGTGGTTGGGATGCTGCTTGGGCCTTGGATAAAAGTGTGTCTGTCTGCTCTAAGAATAAGCTTAACATAACTGCCAACCATTTAGATTGAGATGTGTGATTAATAAGTAATTCAAACAGTTTCAGATAAGTGAAAAACGGTTTGCTGTTAAAAGCTAAGAGACATAAGAAAAGCCAATGTAAATGTTACGGCCATTCACTAGCATCTACCCATGGCCTACATGATCTACACTCTTTTTCTCACCTCGTGATGCTGTTGTCGGTATCTCATGAGCTTTTCAGCTACTACCGGTGATAGCAGGTGACAAACCTGGTCATCCATCCTGACTAACTTTACAAACAACACAATAAAAAGCCAGATGAACTGCACCTGAGTGTGGTTTGATGACGTTCAGCTCAGAGTAGAGCTCTTTTACAACGTCGGACCGGTCTTCCAATGGCCGCTCCGTCACATGGCTCTTCCATTTCCTGAAACCAAACTGACACCGGAAACAGACTCGATCGTAGTTCTTAAGGCTTGTGTACGTTGGAAAAGCCCCGGATTTCTTACCCTGTAGTTGTTGACCAGTTTGTTTGCCTCCACCTCGTTCTCTGCTCTGATGGTTCTCTTATTCTGGATCTCCTCCCAGCTGTCCTCACAAGCGTGATGGCTCGCACCTGCACCCAAAGCAGCAAGATTAGCGGCCAGTACGCGTCTGCTAACATGCCATGCATCTACTATGTTCGGCAGCACTCACACGCATGTGCAGCTGCGCATTTTGTTGCAGGACACACGGAGTGATGTAAAGGTGGAGTGCATGGGTGCTTTGTGTTGAGCTGTTGTGCGCTGCACAGGCGGTCGTGGACATCTTCATGGCTGCAACTTGCCAGAAGATCATGATCACACAGAGAATCTGAAAAAGCAAGGAAACCAAAACATTGCACGTTAATGTTTTCACAGACAGAGACAACACCAAAACAACCATGTGGATTTTTACCAGCTGCTTATGGACCACAGCTGTGATCGCAAAGTGAAGCAATGGCTCTCCCACCAGGTGAACTGAAGCTGCAAACACGGGTCTTGGTTGAGTGTGAACGTTTGTTCTATTACGTCAGTGAAGAATCGTGATCATAGAAAAAGTATATATATATATATATATATATATATATATACATTAAACATATTTTGTAAGCCTGGATACATCTTCACTTCTTTACTGGGAGTGTGCACACCTGTTCATGAGCACTCATGATCAGACCATCCATGATGCATTTAAGCGACAAGGTGGAACTTCCCCTGTTAGGACACATTATTGTGGGAGGACAGATGTAACACTCGGTGGGAGGAAATTGCTTAACAGGTTGCTTGAACAACAAGCAGAGAACTGTTCACTACAGAGCTTGAGTGAGGATCAGTGCGCTCGCACCACTTGGAGCTGAAATAATGTCAGGCCTGAGAAACATCTCAGGTCACATGGAGCCCAACCCCCCAAAAAGTGAGGAATTAGAAAGAAGTGAACGATATGGACTTTGACAGACTGGATCAGTTTCCCACCCAGCTCAGACATCCATTTTGCAATTCCTTTCAACTGCACCCTAATTTATAACCCAACCCCCTTCTCCACCTTCAACAACTCTGTCCACTACTCTGTTCTGTTCCTGCTTTAGTTCAGCAGACATTTTTCATTTACTTTCAAGACAGGAGACAAATTAATAACAAGCAAATCATTTTTTTGTTTCTTTGATCAAAACATTATTCACTGCTATGCAAAAACACTTCATTTGCTCGGGAAACAGTAAAACTGGAGTCTGGCACACTATCAAACACGTCTTTGTCTTTGAAACATCCTTGTCCATTGTCTTGCTGCTCCTTTGTGTGTCAGCAGCAGTCCTTTCTTTACAGTGCACAGTCATGATAAATAAACCACTCTAACAGACACATTGCTGTGCTATACCTTTTACTACGTCCAGTGCCAGTAACAGCAACAATTATGGACCAAACTGTGTGCAGATTCAAAGAAAAATCTAATCTCTGGACTCTGGAATAATGTAAACTCTACAACCACATTTAATTAGATGTTCAAAAAGGTGAAAACACACCAACCACACGTCCAGTGTTTGTTTGGATGTTTTGGTTGTCTATAATGGATGGGTTCTACTGAGCAGAGCTCAGATATTTTCGATATCTCTGATATCGGAGCTCAAAGTTAGGGGATGGTATAGGGTCCTGTTGGGTATTAAAAATCTAGTCCGATCTATCTATTTCCCAAAACTATGTCAATCTTTTAGATTATTCTCAACAGTTTATTCGATCCACTGTGTGAATTTAGCCAGTTCCAGAGACAGCAAACCGACCCGAGTAAAATGTGACTTTCACTGTGTGTAAGGGAAAGTATACTGTTATAACAAAAGCAAAGCAAACACCTTATATACTACTTAACTTATACTCACGTGCAGTCGTTACTACTAAGGATCTTAGAAACTGGATACCATTTAAAATGTAAGCTACCATTTGTGATCGAATGGAACCACAAAGGCTTCAAGCATGACTGCCTGCATAATGTAACAAGGGATATTTTAAGCTTGTGCTGAGCTCAGAAAGCTAGAAAGATATATATTTTCCCCAGTTTTCTGCAAGGGAAACAGAGGCACAACTACAGTTAATAAAAGAGTGAATCACTCATTCATCAAAAGTATGACAAAAGTGAAGAGACTACTTGAATAAAAATAAAAATAAACACTTCCCCTTATGGCATGTCTGCCCACTTTTAGGTAGAATCTTGTTTTGTTTCCTCTTTTCTATATTTGTTTTGGCTTTGCAACGGAAAAACAGAAGGCTGCCAAAGACACTGAACATTGTTTTACGGACACTTATTCCTGAATATTTATTCTAGGTTGGCAAGAGCACCGATGTCACGCAGGCTGCCTTTCATTCCCTCTGCACTCCGGCTCTAACTTACACAGTAGCTGGTTGTGTAACGGCGGGGCTCATTTGAAAACATGGTTAAAGCGTTTAAAATAAATGCACTTGGTTTTTAGTTGTAATTAAGAAGACTTGCTTTAAGTAGGTAAACGGACCTAATTTCTTACATCACAGGCAAAACATTCGTCCACGCGCGCGCTCGCGCGGCCAGACGCCACTCTGAGGGGCACTACTTCTTTATCAACACATCGTGACCGTCTCAGATTTGCACAGCTGTCACTTGACAGCTGCCCTTGCTTTGACAGACAATAAACATTACCCCCAAAAGACCCATGCGGAACCAAAGCAGAGATTGTAGTTTTTTAAGGGCAAATTCAGCGTTTACAAATAAAGTTTATTCATTAAAACAAGCTAAATAAGTCCGCTCACCGACTACGTGTTCAGGCGGCCTTCTCCTCCGGCTGTTCGTGTCTGAGCTCTGTGTGAAGGACTGAGACATCTCGGTCGGTTAAAAAAAGATGAATAAATAATAATAATAAAACCTCTATTCACCAGTCAGACCCGTTCATTTCATCGGTCTCCGACGTCGCAGTCGCTCAGCTCACGAAGTGGGTTTATGCCGATTGGAGTTGTGGGAATTGTAGGCTGACAAGGAAGGGTGCTTTGAAGGGACATGTTACAATTCCCCTAAACGTTCATTTACTGAAGTGGAGAGAGTATGGACCTGTTATCCCATCAGAAGAGGAAATGTATTTTTGTAAGGCTGCAAATATGTTGATAGTAATCCTATATCTAAAACAAAATCTAAAACAATTATTATTTTAACAGCAGCCCGATCCAAAAGACTTGTATTTGAATCGAAATGTTAGTAAAAAAAATCATTTAAAATACAATACAACAGCAACAAGATGAAAAGCCAAAATCCAAAACTGAGTTTTGAGAAGTCTTTCATGAACCGTTGAGACAACTGTGCCTGTTTACTATGATTAGTTACCCAAAAACGTATTATTATTATTTTCAAAAAGATTTTTAGTCTAACTGAGCTCATATTCACTTCATATTTTTCATTTGAATTGTACACTGTTTACATAAAAAAAATTACTTTGATTGATTAGGTAATTGAACATGGTGCTTTATTCCTTGGCAATATGTGAAGAAACAAGGCCTTGTTCACCTTTTTTTTTGCACTGTGATATACTTTGATTTTACTTAAAACAGCCATTTGAGTGGCTAATTGCTTTAATCAAGAAAACATATATATTTTTTAATAAATGGTCATTTTATTAATTAATAATTAAAAAAATAATAATAATAATTTACTTATTAATTATTTTATTAACCGCAAAACTAAGTGCTTAGGAATGGCCCATATATGGGCACAAAAATCTGTGGGAAGGACAGGAGCAAAATTCAGGAATTTTACCATGAGGTGATTGTGCGCTCTCTGTAAACACATGATTTGACAAATACCTTCACATTATGGCCAAAAACATGTTCGACACGGAATTGGATTTAAAATCAAAAAGGGCCAAAAGAACACCAGTATCACAGCATCTCACATACATATTTGGCTGTAGAACATAAACAATACTTTTCCACTCTGTAGTTACTGGATAGGTCTTTTAAGTTTGCTGGAGTTTTTAATGGGCTCTCCCAATGTTTTCATTTAGATTTAAAAGGGACTCATTTTTGGTTGTTTTAAATACGGCCTTTTTAAAAATAGCCATTCAGTGAAAGGACAGACCACCAAGCAATGAATTATTTTTCTTGTGTAGTCGGCTGGAGGAGCATCATCTTCAGTTACGAGGGGAAAAAATTTGAAGATGATTTGTTTTTGCACTCTTATTTTCATGAATGATTATTGTGTTATTTACGCCTAAATATTGTTTCATTAGAAAAATCCCTTTGCTGATGTAACATTGCTAATTGGACAGATTTACAGCAGCAGTTTGATCAAATTAATCATATTCTTATTAAATTAATGGGATAGTTTTTTGAGATTTAAAAAACAAAACAATACGTGCAATAGCAACCACACGTCTTTTATTTAAGACACGAGTTACCAGTTAGAATAGAGCTAAGTAATACACTTTCTTAGCTCTTGTGCTGCTGAACTGCTAATCTGACTGGGGTATCTGCATATCAACTATGCTTTGACTGTCTTTCTGTATCCATGACAAAAAAAGTGGTTGAATATTTAAAGAGAAAAATAAGTGATGAGAATTTTTGCATATTCAAATTCAACTTGAGGTCACAGGCACCTTTAAAATTGTGTTTTATGACCCAGAGTTTCTGGTAAATAAATAACTTTTGCATCAACTGCCAACAAACAAACCTTGTGTGATGGGTCTGCCCTCAAAATCCGTCACCATCAAAACCTCAGAAATGTCAGTGTACCTCCAGAAATGTCAGAAGTGTCAGTGCCTGTGAACCTTCGATATTTAGAGCACTCTCGATAGTGTTCTCAATACCCTCACACGGAATACATTCTGTAACCCTGTGATGTCTTGTTTATCTGCTACAGGAAATTTTCACTGGTATATTTCATTACTGATTTGCAGAATAACCTTTTGTTCTACCAAGATAAGCATGCATAGTTTACAGCAAACAGTCAGTGTAATTTATGCCAAAATGGTCATCATTGCCCCAGGTTATAGATAAACACTCTAGGTTCTAAATATTCACGCTGTGGAACTCTTTATTGATAGCTTTTGTTTCCTTTTCTGAGATATCAGAACCATTTCTGATCTTGAAAATCTCCAGCATCTCTTGCATGTATCACTGCCGAAGATCCGACAAATCCCCAAACATTCTCAGCACCGACAATGTCTTTTATTAACTGCGCTAAAGTATGCAAGTCTTCAGTCCCCTGAAAGATCCCCAAATCACCTCAAAAAGCACCAGCTCTACTTTTAGAATACTTCACCAAGTGTATTGTTTGCAAAGAAAAGTCTGTGTAACTCTGATTTGTGGTGAGATTCCTGTGTACCCCTGATGATTTATGTAAGTGCCTGTTATGATAAAGTTTTGCTGCCATTTGCGTTGATATGACCACTGTTTTGGTGTCCTCTATAAATTAACAATAGCAATGACCACAAAGTATTAAACAGTGTCATCCATTCAATTGACTTCTCTGCTTTTAAGCACTGCATACAATTTAGTTAAATTAATGATAGAAGGTAGAGTTTTTGTAAGAAACACCTCACTCATACCATATATCTACAACTGATTTAGAGACAAGTGACATACATTTATCTTTTGACATGAATAAAATAGAATTTAATTTAATCTGGAAATATTTTAACCTTCTTCCTAAGGTGGCATTATGACACATTTTGATGCACTATGAGGAACAAACATGTATACGTACACACAGCACAAGCATGAAATATATACTATTGATGCAGCAGATGAAAAATAACACTACTATGTTTCAACACTACTATCTTATTCTTTGTTGAGACCAAACGAAAAATTAGTTCATGAAAAAACAACCTAATGTGGTGTGCCATCACTAATTAAGGTCTTACATGTAATTAATGTCTTACATAGATAAGAAACTTAATAAAATCTACATCTTATAAAAAGCTCAGAGGTATAGAAATAGATAAATATGCATTTGGCTGCACTGCATATTATGATCAAGCCTTGTTTCAAATCCAAGTAAAAAATGTGTTTGTCAATGTGTTCTAGAACAATAAACATTTGGTGACACAGAAATTTGAGGCTACAAAGACCCGATGAAGGTTTTTCTGACCCTTATCTAAATGTCACAATATCAACCAACACTGACCTCATCTGATAACATTTCACCCTACTTGCAAAAGCAACTTTTGGCATGTCAACCTCGGCTTGTGGAGCTGCCAAAAGCACCTAAACCTCGGTCTTAACTGTGTAAAAATGAAATTTCACAACACGTCCTAAAGATGTGTGTGAAAAAAACAGCCATTTGAGTGGCTTTGATTGGTCGGTATGTAGTTTCAGAGATGGAGTTTGTGAAGCAACACACCTCATCGAGTATATATGTAGCAGCAGACTAACACTGTTCACTTGGGGATTGACCAGGTCGGACAACTGGGAGACCATGGCAAAGCACTGGAGTGTCACCTCTTTTGCAGCATTCACTTTGATTTCCTACTTGGCCGGGAAATGCATAGAGGCTCAGAAGGGTGTTCCAGCTCCTCAATACCCACAGGACCCACCTCAGCCTCAGTACCCTTCATATCCACAACCGCAAAGACCACAGGAGCCT